AAGGACTGAATTTGTGAATCTCCTGATAGCTAATGCATGTATTATCTCATACCCTACTATCTGTGACTGATTTTTGGTATTGTCACCAGGTTTTCATGCTCCAACCATGTCCTGGCCAGTGGCAGGGACACTTATGATTGAACCTACAGAGTCTGAAGACAAAGCAGAGCTGGACAGGTTTTGTGATGCCATGATCAGTATTCGGCAGGAAATTGCTGAAATAGAGGAGGGCAGGATGGACCCCCAAATTAACCCACTAAAGGTAAGGTGGCATGTAGAGCAAGGTACCAGCATCAGCCTAACCCTTGAGTCTGCAGATGCCCACTTCCTTGTCTTTCAGTACTCTCAAAAGTAATGGGTCACAACAATGAGCACAAGACTTTCTTGATAAACCTTCAACTTTTTCAAAATTTGAATTTTGACTTTTTCAAGTGAGAAGTCTTACTGACAGAGCAGAGAAAGTTATTTCCACAAGCACTTATTTTATATTTCAAGGTCATCTCAAAGTAACAAAGGAGAGATGCTTATTTCACTGGCTGAAGATGGAAAGTGGAATGACCTTAACATTAATAATAAAATCAAGACTGAATTATTTTAGCAATGCCAGTATCAGGTCAAGTTCTGTTCCACTCTTAATGCTGTACTGACTTTTAAGTTTAGTGAAAAGCCAAAAGCATATTCAAGCCTTCGGTAGCATCTTTAGGCAAACTGAAAAAAAATCCAAATACTGATTTGCCTCCTGGTTTAAATCTGCCTTTTCTGCCCCCAGATAAACAGTGTTCTCTAGACAGTAATTACTTATTTGTGGTAATGTGAACTTGAAGAAGGCTTCACGCTATGTTCAACAGAAATCAGTAATTCCTTGTTCTCAACATGTCTTGTTTCTTGTAGATGTCACCACATACTTTGAACTGTGTCACTTCTTCCAAGTGGGATCGTCCCTACTCCAGAGAAGTGGCAGCATTCCCACTGGTGAGTATATAATGGGAACTTTGTAGTGTGGTAATATATAAATATATAAATATATAAATATGCTTTGTGCTCTGTAGTTTCTTAGTTGGAGATGAAGTAATGTGGTAAGAATGAAAACTTCAGAGCCATTATATTGTTGCTCAGTTTTTAAGTGTGTGAGCTCTCTCTACCACAGTTTCATTAGTTTAACTTTATAGGCAAGAAAAGAAGAGCTCAAAAATAAAAAGTCTCCACGCATAGGTGCAGACCTGGATTTCTGAATCCTAGCACTTCAACACTGAATACTCATTCCTATTGGAAACAGCCTGTTTAGTTCTGACATGCTGCACCAAAGGCTCCCAAAACAGAGTCCCACATGCTGACATTCAAAGCTTTGCTCAAAAGAACTTGCATAAGGTGTGACTAGATTCCCCAAGGTTAGCATGGAGAAAGCGACACCAATGTGGACCTGCTACAAATAAAGGTCAGACTGGAGCTGCACACTGATATCAGACTTCTTAATTGCTTTCACAGTCATAGCAGCTAATGTACATGTAACCAACCTTTCTGCTCTGAATCTTAATTGCAAGTATTTTAGTGACATGTACTGTTTCAAAGAGGAAGAATTCAACTACACCACCATTCCACTTTCCTTTAAGTATTATATTGTAGCTATGCTGAACAGTACAGCAGTGTCTTCTGCTTTTCCTTCATTCCTATGTGAAAGCCAATTGTTCAAAGGATAGTAAAGTTTTCTTTTATCTCATGAAAACTGCTTCTTTGCAGGCATGTGTTAGAGGACATGACCATACTTTTTTGAAAATCTAAGCATTCTTTAACACATGCTTGTTAACTTTCAGGGACTGCAAAAAGACTTGAAGGATGACTTCACCTAAAAAATCCATTTTCACAGCACTTGTAATTCTTCAAGCTCCCAATGTCTATTATAATTTTGTAGATTTATTTGGTGGAAAAATTAAGATGGTTGGGTTCTTTTATCTCTCTTAGCCATTTGTGAAGCCTGAAAGCAAGTTTTGGCCCACAATTGCTCGCATTGATGACATATATGGAGATCAACATCTGGTTTGTACCTGCCCACCGATGGAAGCCTATGAATCTCCATTTTCTGAACAGAAGAGAGCATCTTCCTAAGATTGCTTCCAGCTGCCTGCATTTTTGACTCCATCAGAACGGCCCTTTCCTGATTTCCTGGGGATATTTATATTGTGTATATTTTGAATAATCACCATGTTTGTTCATTGAACACTGCTCAGTTAAAATGTAAATACAATCAGTATGTTAGGTGTAAACAAAATGTGATTGTTCCACAGCAGTTGATGTTGGAAGTTGCCTTGATTTATAATTTTGTCTGTTTCATGCTAAAGTTGAAACTATTAACGCCAAATTTGCAAGGTGGCGTGGGAGATACAGTTAAAAAAGTAGAAAAGATGCAGATACATAAGGCAAGACTAATAAATATTAACTGCGGGATTGTTTATATTTTGTAAAAAATGATGAAGTAGATTTTTTAAATTTACTTCACATATTACCACTAACTAGCATTGCTAGTGTTAATATTTCATACTGATTTTTTTACCTATCAGTGTTAGTACTCTAATAAAATTGGTCAGAATTTTAAGTGTTGTCATGTTTTGGATTTAAACTTTTCAGCTGTATTTGTCCAACAGAGCAGTAGGAAATTAGGGAACTTAAGTTCTGATTTGTGACAATTGCCACAGCAGCAATAAACTTACACAAAGGAAAATACTGTCAGAGATTAATATTTAAATAAATCTCTGATTTTTTTTTCAATGAGCCAGAATGATCCATTTTATCAAGCAGTAACAAACTTAATCTTGTTCTGTATCACATCATTTTTTCTTAGTAGTTCCATCTAATTCTCTCTTATTCTGGAGAAGGCATAAAAGACCATGAAGGCATAAAAGACTGTGAACTGCTCAGTATTACTTAAATCTTGGGTAAAAAACTGTTTTCTTTCCACAGCTTCTCAAGTCACTCTCTGGCACTTTTTTATACAGAGCACTCAGTTTGCCCTACTTTATCTACAGCTTGTGTAAAAACTGATTCACAATGGAAACTCCAAGAGCTTAAGGAGACCAGAGCCCTGCTGCAACACAAAGTGCCACATTAAATCACCCAGTAACCAAAGCTCAGACCTTAAACAGGAGCCTTTTCCAGCATGTTCCAGATCAAACTTACATAAAACTAATCCTCTCACTAGTTACACAGTCTGTGCTATGAGCACATTTGAAAGGAACTTGCGCAGGTCCATGCAGAGCTGTCTGATGTACGTGAGCACCCCTGAAAGGACCAATTCATTCAGCCACTTAAAGCACAATTTTGGTGAATTAGGCACTAAGCAACACTGGGAACACAGAAAAGGACCACACAGTTCTGCACCTTACAACCACCCCACTACTCAACCTCTTCTTGAAGATCTACATGCACACTCAGCCTGGGAACTCTGAAGTGACACAAATGAGGCTGCTGTTTACAGCAATATTTTACGTACTGCAAACTTTGTGTCTTTTACAATGAAAGTTTTGGGACTGCAACTTTTTCATTACCTACCTTATGACTTCAGTGGGGGGCTTTACACAAAGAGACTACAGATGATAGTAGACAGGAATGGCTTTCATTAAAGCTAAGTCAGGCCAGACACTAGTTTTTATGTGAAAAGCTGCACTTACATGCTAAATCACCTCAATACATAGTGGAGAAAATCAGATGTTTTTACTCTAGAATTCACTACTGGAAAGGGTATCTTTCAGTAGCCATTGATATAGTACTAAGGATGTAAAATATCAAGAAAAGCCACTGCAAATTTACAATGTGAGGAAAGGACAGTCTTTCTCTGTTGCCAGTCTAATTCCCCAGTCTTGACAAGCTACTTTAATGTTTGTTAAAAACAGTTTCATGTTGCTTGATTATGTCACTGAAAAAAAAAATTAAAAATTGGTTTACGTGTTTTTGTATAAAGCAGATAACTTCCCACTGTTGATCTCAAACTGACAAAATTTAGCTTGTGAATTAATTGGTAAAATCTATCCAATGCAAAACAAAGCATTAAAATATTTTACAGTACTCAACTAAAAGGTTGGAGGCCACAAGTCTTACGAGCTACCGTTCATGAGATGCAATGGCTGTTACGAAGGTGAAATCACATCGTTCTCTCCAGAAATTCTGAGCTACCTGTAGCACTGTGGGCCACAGGCTGTCACTGCAACCTCAGTGCCTACAGAGGGAATTTGACTCATCCACCTGGCCAACCACTGTGCAGGAATCCCACAGCTCCCAGCTGTGCCTATGACAGCTCTACGTGACAGGCAGGGCTCCCTCCCACTCTGGGACATGGACAGAGCACTGCTACAGGCTGTGAGCGAGTCCATGGGTATCAACGACATCACTGGATCTTGGTTTGGAGTTTGGCCTTTTTTAAAATTAAGTGTTCTTTTCACTGAGAAGTTAGTTAAGGAATATAAAGCCTCACACCTGAAAAATAAGGTGACCTAAGGAAAGCATTTAGTAATCTGAAAAATAAATTCTGTAAATATCTCATGACTTAATTAAGTGGATAATAGTAAAAACAAAATTAGCAAATGTTCTGAATCATAAAATATTTAATAAGGTATATTTTGGGGGAGGGATATATTGTATATAAAATCTCAGATCACAATATGAAGCGATTTGAACCCTAGCTAGCACTGCCTTTAATGCTGTGTAGATGTATTGCCACTGATACAAGACCTACTAAAAGCATACAGTTTAACTAATACAGAAGTGGCTTTTTTTATATGAACTATTTTTTACACAATTAGAGTGTCTTGAATACTCTCTTTAAGTGCAAAAAACACAGATCACTTTACACTAATGCAGCAACAATGCATTCATATTGTTCTCATTAGTCATTAGTAGTCAACTTGCATAAGATACAAGAAAAGCACAATGAAGCTCACAAAAATAGACTAAAAATCAGCCCGTTCTTGCAAAAAAATACAGCATAATAGAAGAAAAAGACAAAAAAGGGATTATGCACACCACAGAATTTGCTGTTTAATCCAAATGGCTTAAGTGCTGAATCTATTTATTTTTCCTGGTTTTTCGTGGATTTTTCTTTTGGTTTGCATTTTGTTATTGGGTTCTTTTTTATTGTAAATCAAACCACATGGACCAGGCACAACTAATATTTAGGAGGCAGTGTGTAGCTAAAACATCACTAACTATTTTTTATCCCCAACATTGTTTCATTGTTTGACACAATTTACTTTCCTCTGTCCTGAGGTAGTCACAAAAAAACAAATCATAAATTAAGCATCAGCTAGGCCAGTAAGAGCTGAGGCTTTTATTTTTCTCTTTTTTTTTTTTTCCTTCTTTAAAAACTGTTAGTTAACTGGCCAAAACTACCCTTGATGTTAAAAGACAGCTGAGAATTAGAGTTCTCACAACACCAAGAAATGGCTATGAGGGTAAGAGGGTTAGGTGCTTCAAAAAGTGACAATATATTGAGTCCCATCAAGCCGGCTGGTCCACTGCTGAATTCCCATGTTTATTCCCCTTTACTGTCTATAAAGTCACTGGGAGAAGTACAGGAGGAACTGAGCATATCATCGCCCTTTACTGTAACCCGGAAAGAACTGGTCCAGTAGTGTCTGCAGGATCTTGTTGGGAGCCATGACGTAGCCCTTCCCCAGGTCATAGCGGCAGGCAGGGCAGGTGAACACTTCGGCTCTGAAGGAGCGCTGTAAACAACTCTAGGACATACAAAGACAGAGAAGTAAATTGCAACAACTTTCTTGCAGACCAACAGCTTAACCAGCAAAAAGTAAGGAATCACTATGAACCAAAGGCACAATTTGCTGTACTACCAGAAAAAAAGAAGTCTTTGCCAAGCCCCCTGGTGCCTGACTCCACCCATGACTAAAATGTCCTAGCCAAGAAACTCTTCTCCGTGCTTGGGAAGAATTAAATCACTAGTGAGGTTTCCCCTTCATTTTCACTAATGCCTTCCTGTAAGTCACAGCCAATCCTTAGCTTCCTTACAGCTTCACAGATTGGTATACTCTTCCAGACCTTCATATCAAGAGGAAGATCAATATGCCACGTATACTGTTTGCAATGTAGCAATCTCCAACTAACTCATCAGCATATACCCAGTTTAGCCTTACAGATATATGTAGGATAATACAATCTGCAACATATTAGCATCTGTGCTGTCATCCTTACTACGTTACTGCAGATTGATGAGCATCTAAAATTTTTTAGGGCAGGGCAGATCTCTGTCTAAACAGCAACAGCAGCTTACTATCGAACTTCCTTACAACTTTACCTGGATGTTATACTGTATTCTCAAATATGTACTGATATCTTCAAATACTGTGCTTTCTGGGTTTGTTGCCATTCAGCTTTCTCTTCTTTCTTTTTTTCATGGTTTTCCAATTTCTACAATTCTAAATTTTAACTCCACAACATTTCTTATGTTTTTCAGAGAGACATAACTGTTCCATGTTATGTGCAGGCCACACATAACAACACCCTGATTTTTACTGGAGTGGTATCTTCTTGAACAGCAACCTTACATTACCAAATACTGTACTAGGATGACAATATTTTGAGTCCTTTTAGGGCCTCAGGCAGACATATGAGGTAGGCACCATTCAAATATGCACAATTCAGTGCATGATTTTGTACATACCAATGCTACAAAATTAACTCTAGTCCAGATTTGATTCCACACTTCTTAGATTATCTCCAACTGATCAAGATTTTGAGACACATAAGTAAAGTACTGACATTCATGGTCTCCTACCAAACATGAGCAAGATTAACAGGATAACATAACTTTCTCTGAATGAGCCCAAATAACTTTCTAGGGTATTTATCCTCCACCCTTTCACAACTTTTAAGAAAGAGTTATAACATTATATAATCTGGTTTTATTTCTTGTAAAATGATGTAAAATTAAATCATTGATATTGTGCCAAAATATAACCTCTGGACCTAACCAATTTCTAGTGCACCTCCACTGGCCACAAAGGCATGACCGCAATGGTAAACCTCACACATTATGTCTATCAGAAACTATATGGAACACACTTCCACTCTTTATTACACAAAACTAAGGTGTTTACACAGGAAACACTGAATGGAAACTTGTTGCCTGTTTTTGCTCAGAATGTTATGCAATTATTATTGTCTTTCTAAAATGCATACGGCTTTGGTGATTGGTGTCTCAGAGCCAAGAAAACAGCCCAGAGCAAGGCGGTTTGTTCTTACTTTACAGACGTTGTGGAGGCACTCTGTTGTCACTGGCTGGTAAACCAACTCCTGGCAGCAGACACACATAAAGGATTGTTCCAGTTTCTTCAGAAAATTCTAATGTAGGGCACAGGAATAAAAGAGACAAATGCTATTACAGTTCTCATAAATGCCACTTACTACATAAAGATGATGTACTTCCAGAAGTTCTTAAGTCCATCATATCTCTGAGCACAGCTTTCTAGAAGTAATCAGGAAGCAGGTCTTTAATGGCTTTATTTCCCTGCTCTTCTACAAATTGCAGAATCACATAATCAGAGAATGGTTTGGGTTGGAAGGGACCTTAAACAACACCTATTTAAAGCCCCATGCCATGGGCAGGGAATCTTCCACTAGACTAGGTTGCTCATGGCCCCATCCAGCCTGGCCTTGAACACTTTGAGGGATGGGGTGAATGCTTCTGGGGAACCTGTCATAAAATTATTTTCTGTCTAAACAAAACCTAGTGACTAAAACCACCTTTATTCATGTCTGATTTCTGACATTAGCACAGCATAAAAATACATTTATTATATCAGAGAAAACATGCTCTCTTCAAAAATGAAAATACACAAAAATGCAGTTTTAACTTCAGGATGGTTTTTGAGCAAGAAAAGGTCTCTATTGTGGAGGCATTAACCCATCTCTCAAGACCAAATTGCACAAGCTAGACATCTTCTTGAAATACAAGTGTTACAAATAAAACTAACCCAAGACAGCCTATATTTAGCAAAAGTTTAACAAAGGGGGTTTTAGGAGGGTCTCCTAATAATAAGATTTCTCCTAAATAAGATTTCTCCTAATAATATAAAGAAAATGCAAAGAATAAAAATTATGCATGCAACAAACATACTGGTCCTTCCTTAAGAGAAGCAAGTACTTCATCCCACAGCTTCTGGTTCATGCAGTCTTCTCTGATCAGCCATTGCTGCTCTTGGGTCAGCTGGAAAGCTTCTCCTTTCCCTCCATCCCCCATCCTCATGGCTTTGGGTGTATTTGTAGGTTCCTCTGTACCTGCTTAAGACGGTGACCATCAGACCCAGTAACAGCAGTGTTAGTCTGAACTAATAGAAGGGAAAGACAAAACTATTTCTAGAAGGAAAAATGGATTAATATGGATTACATGCATGAAATGCAGCAAGCAAATTCCTACTCCAACTCATACTATACATCATTGTTTTGGATTGCAGCACACAGTTGCACAAAAGAATTTTCATTTTTTTGCAGAGCTTGAGGGCAAAAAACACAGCAGGAGCAGTAAAAAGGATTAAGACCCCTACACTACCACTTAATTAAAGAGCATGTGCTTATGAATTTACATTAGTATTCCAAACAGTGTGGTGGGTTTCGTGTAGGCCAAACACTAGTGCATTCACTAGAATATACTTATTTATTTCTTGCTGTGAGACAGGATTAGGAGGAAGGCAAATTAGGCTCAAAACTTGAAAAGGGTATGAAAAAAAGTTTAGTAACACTAACTAAAAGAAAGAGTAATAAGAATTAGAATAAAACCTTTAGAACACTTCTCCTCTCCCTACAACTTTTTTTTCCTACTTGCAACATACAGAAATAATCCAGTCTGTTTATTACTTCTAGAATAGTCTTTTTTAGTCTACTTAGGGAGAGGTGCTCTTCTTGTTAATTTATAGAGACTTCTTTATAAGAATACTGTTCTCTTGTAGCTTTTAATTTTTACAAATAGTTGCCTGGAAAATCTGTAATGATTAAGTCCCTTCCATTTTTACAGCTTTTCCCAAAACTGCGTTTATGGGCCATGTTAATTTATGGGGTATTATTTTAAAGACGAGCTGTTTAAGAGCAAAGGTTTTCTGTATCTGTCTTTGAAATTATCTTCATTTATGGGAACACAGGTCTTCTTCTTCTCTCCCTGGGAGCATAGGGTCATTATCACTCTTTGTTCAAACTTCTCATGGGACTTCAGCTATTTCAACATCTACTTACTTTAGCATGGAGGCTTTTGCTAGATATCTACAATTCAAACGGTTCATCTCCTCATATTTGTAATGGGTTATAGGGGAAAAAAGAGTCTGATGTATCAATTATACCTTCTTCATAGCCTTATAAGAGGATTTTAGCCTAGAATTAAGGCATCTCTTTAAATCCCTCCCATCTGGGACTTGACTTCTTTTTACTGACTTTCATGTTTCATGTTGTTCTCTCTGTATCTTCAATCTTGCCTTTTCTTTCACTCGAGAGAGAGAACTGATGTTTGTAAGTTTTAATTGTGTAATAAAACCGGTTAGTATCTTGCCCAGGTTGGCAAGATACTAACCGGTTATGTGCAGATGGTTGTGTGATTTCTGCTGGGTGGTGCTGGCGTTGTTTGCGGTAGAGGATTTCTTCGGCGGCCTGGAAGGGAGCTGCTACGCTCTCAGCAGCCGGGTAGAACTCAGCAGCAGCACGCCCGGGGGCCGATGGCTTCCCCCTGCCCCCCAGGCCTGCTGGTTGTGGACGAACTTTAATGGTGGTAGAATCTGGGCAAAGTTAGCCCCGCTCGGAGCCGCCCCCGGGGCCCGGCTGGGCCCAGGCTGGCGGCGGGGGCAGGGTTTAGCAGCGGCAAGAAGCCAGCAGCTAAACCAGCCCGGCCCGGCCTCGGCCCCGCGGCCTCCCCTCGCCGTGCCCGGCGGTGATGGGGCCCGGGGGCTCCGCGGGAAGGAGCCCGGCCCCGCGGCCTCCCCTCCCCGTGCCCGGCGGTGATGGGGCCCGGGGGCTCCGCGGGAAGGAGCACGGCCCCGCGGCAGGAGCTGCCCGTGCCCGGCCCGGCCCGGCCCGGCCCGGCCCGGCAGAGACGAGGGCCGGGCTGGCTGTGTTATTTGTTTGCCGGCCGGAAGGGAAAGAGACCCTCCTGGACTTCTTCGTCTTGTTATAACAAGTGTCTTCACAGAGGCGTGTACATTTTTCTTAGTGGTTCAACAGATTGTTATTTCAAAGCTAATTACTGATTGGTCTTTTTTGTCAGACATGGAGGAAACGGCTAGCAGCTTCTCTTTAGAAAGTCACTTTTGTATGTGCAACCACAAACAGCTTCACACTTCCACAAAGATTTCGTGACTTAGTTCATGGCAATTGTAACATGACAGACTTTGCTGATGAATGCTAAAAGAGTAAAAAATAAATACCATCATCAATAGTCCTTTTCTGGTTTCCATTACTTTGGCTGGTTGGCTCTTGTTTCGCAGTTTGCTTTTTAACCTTATCTTTCTTCTCTTTACTAGCCATGGCTTCCAAATAACCTTCTGGATACTAAAATTAAAAAGCACAGATTTAAAGCAAGAGTCATTGACATTCAGGAATAACCAAATGCCAAAAGGAATAACTTCTAGAAGATTTTAGATCCCTATGACTACATAGCAAAATAGTTACAAAATAATTTTTAAATCCTATATGATAAACATTTAAATTAGTACCTATCTTTAAGAAAGCACAGTCAAGTCAAAGAACCTAATCCATACTGTGTATGTGTGTATGTGTATTAAATAGTATTTCTGTACTTGTGTGTTTACAAACTATAAATCAGGGAGATGATGGTATGCTATAAAATGCAACATACCATTGCATTACCAAGAACAGATATTAATTCTTTCCTTCTTTTCATCTTTCATGGATTCTGCAATACCAAAATTTTCATGGATCAGCCTATATCAGTGGCTAAAATACACTATTTATACAAACTACTCAGTCACAAGAAGAGAAAAATACTTAAAAATGCACTGTTTTTTTGGTTTCTCAGACAGACGCTAGTCACCTGTAGAAAAATTTGTTCCAGCCTAAGAATCACAAAACTGGACACAAATTCTGATTTTCCAATTCATATAGACAAACCAATTTACTTCTAGGGCAGAAAGCTTCATTTGCAGTTCCATCTTCTGTGTCACTATTACAGTATTCTTTCAATTTGCTTATAATAATGGGTTTTAGTACCAAAAGCTGCCACAGTGAAGTACAAGGAAAAAAGGGAGCTTTAATTTAACTGATTTCTTTCTCAGGATTTTGTTTACTAGAACTAAGAATAAAAACAACTGTCCGAGTCCTGATGCCAACCTGTACACTTAGACCGAGCTTTTTTGACCGCTCCATTCCTTCAGAAGTCCAAGGTGCTGGCTCAACATCATCTCTCCTCAGAAGATAGCGCCAAACTAAAAATCCACATTTTCCAATTTCTGGCCAGTATTTCACCACCTAAAGAACAATACAAAATTACTGCCACTATTTTATCACAAATCAAACACATGCACATCGTCATACTTTAATTGTTCAAGAAGAAATTACAAGACTGATTTATACATTATTATTATTATATACAGAAGTTCTTCCCTCAGCTGTGAAATTTTTGTATTTCTTATAAATACAGTGGCCTTAAAAGACACACTCCTTTGTTTCAGAAACTAAGAAGCCTTCAAACAAACAAAAGGCTGGGATGCAGCTGGAAGGACTGAAGAAATAATGAAATAATCAGATTTCAGGGATGTATTTAACTCAATAAGCACACGCAAAGCAACTTACATATTCAATCTTATGTATCCTATTACAGATTATGTTCTATTATCACTGCTCTGAATAATTTCATTTTGGTTCACTTTGCAGAACAAACTAAAGCTAAAAAGCTCTACTAAAGAAAAAAGGAACTATTTCTTTCAAGTAATAATGAAGAATTTGCAGACTAACACATATGAGGCTTTTTAAAACAGATTACAAGAAATTTTATGTTGTAGAGATCAGAATACCTTGTAAATGCCATCATATCTGTTGCCTTCCTCTGGGGCATATTTGCTGATCCGCCGTCCTTTTGAGCTGCGCACTACCCTGACTGGTTTACCAGCTCTCCAATTCTTTGACTCTGCTCCATTTTTATCATCCAATGGGGCATCACAGTTAAGGGCCAAAGCCCTAGAAAGACATTTAAATTCTTCATTAACGAGATTGCTTCACCAAGCAGAGTTTTGGGAGTTAACATAATTATGTCATGTGAGTTTCCCTTGTCTAATTTTGCTTTATCAAGCAGCGTAGACCTTTCAGTATGTTTTTTAGCAGAATTGACGGAAACAATGAGATCCACACTGAAATGCATGGTAAGAAAAAAAGATGGGAACACTAAATATGTTGTCTGGGTTCCACATGGCAACTCATGTGAAATTGCTAGAAAACAAACCAATCCTTTTAGACTTAATATTATTAATTTTTAAAATTAATCCCTTCCTAAATAGAAGAAATTAAAATTATAATAAAAGGCAAACTTTCTGTGCTGCTACCCCCTATCAATAGCCTTTAAGGCTTTTTAACACAAAAGTAATGATATGATGAAAAACATACAGATAAAAAAGTACATTATAACCATTCAAAAAAGCTCAAAATACCATACCTCTCTCACATGATACATAAAATACCTCAGAGGAGAACTAAGAATCATAGTAGCTAATTAAAGCTTTAATTAGCTTTAATTAAAAGCTTTAATTTACCCATAGAGACCCTCTTCTAGAAACCTGGAGCAAGAGAGTATGACCAAGTTGCTGTAAGAAACAGTATTTCTACTCCCACAGCCTGACTTGAAGGGATTGAAAACCCTTCAGAATCAGCCACAACACAAATGATGGATCTCAAAACAGAAGAAATTATATGGGTTATAAACAGACATGGTACAAGTATAGCACCCACATTGTAGAGAACAGTAAGAGACAGGCACACTATGCCAACATTAAAAATCTTCCCCATATAAAAAAAAAAAAACTTGTAAAACTATATGGACAAGCAAAACCAATACAGATTCATCTACATGGAGTCGTCATAATCTTCTGCATCAAAGTGCTTGAAACTTGTATCAAGCTCAGTAAATGAGAGCAGCACATTGTAACTCCTTGTGCACTAATGCCTTCACAGCTAAGTAGTTCTACCTGTGGATTTCTCATTTGCTAAGAGGAGGGAGATGCTGTCATTAAAGAATCCAGCTTTAATTCTGTGTCCCAAAACAACTTTGTTCTATTCACTAAATATGCTTGTAAAGCTATTGCTTAAACCTACTTCTATATTTCTTCTCTCCTTGATCTTGTTTATTTTCACATCACGTGTCCCCTCCCCGTCCCTTTCTCAGCAGCCAAGTCAGGCTTTTCCTCTTTCTCCTCTAGACAGCTTGAAAACATCCCTCTCCAGCCTGTCTGAGAGTAGCAGAACATACCTAAATGTAGACCTAGCAAATGAAAGTTCTCAGTGACTCTCAGCATCTCACAGGTGTTCAGAGGTCAGTTGTGTAACAGATTATACTCTTAGAAACAGAAAAGGATGGAGTACTCTTTGTTCAGGCCAGCTTTTGAAGGACGGAAAAACACTTCAGGGAGATGTCTAATTCTCCCTCTGGATATATGTTCTCTTTCAAGTACCTATTTTGTTAAAGCTGCACCCTAATTCCTTGCTTTTCATAGAAAAATATGATGAAAGAAAGGGCTAGCAAAATAGAAAATATTTATTTTATCATGGGAAAAGGAACATGCTTTCTTCCTCCTTAAATTTATAACTGATTTACCCATGAGAGAAGAAACTTAAAAAAAGAAACACCCAGAATTAGAAAACTTCTGATCAAGAGTTTTGACAAATTTCTCGTTTAATAAAAACAGAATCCTCTCAGTGTGACTGTAGAACAATTTCAACCAGAGGCACAACTGCAAGCTGCAACAACAATACAGCAATGGATTTCACTGTGTGAAATCACTGTGAGATGAGTGTCCCTTTAAAGCAACAGATCATAATGCTTGATAAAATATCTCTTAGATGCAACAGGCATTGCTGTTTATGAAAACAGCATGTACAGAAGAGAAAAAATACAGCAAAATGTTAGTTTTAAATTAAAGCCCTACAACCCAACTCTTTGTATTGGAACATCTTTAAAATTTATTTTCAAAACTTACCGATTCATGTGTGTTAATGTCTGATCAAATGAATGTTCTCCAATTCTTTTATTGCCAGAAAGATCTCTACCTCCACTCCCAGTGTAAGTGAACTCATCTCCTCGATCCTGTGCAAGAAGATTATCCTTTGGTTTAAGGGTCTAAAGTAAAGTAACTCAATTAAAAGAAAAAAAAAAAAGAAAAAAAAAAAAAAAAAAAGAAGCAACTTCATTTGTTCTATGTACTCAGAGAAAAGCTGTAATCCAGGGCACGAAAGACGTGTTTTCAATATCATTATTGCCATCCTACAGCAGCTGCACTGGCACAAAGCTACTGATGTAGTCTAGATGTAACCTCTTCACCAAAAAATTCTGACTAAAAAAAATGCCTACATTAAAAAATGGTACTTTGGCTTTTTTTTATAAAGCTATTTTGAGGAAGAAAAAAATCTGAGTAACATATTCTAGCAAGTAGCTACTTGCTCTTGAGCTTTCATTGTGTTTACAAGAGTATCATGTTTGTAAAATACAGAATAATTACCTTGGATGGATCCTGGCAGTAACTTCAGCTTGTGCAAGGATCTCAGTGCTAGTAAGTACATAGAGTGCTGCCTTATGTACAAAGCAGGTGCTTTAATGAAATAGTAATCCCAGCTCTTCTGACTCAGTAAGAGTCTAAAATAATTTAGATTCATATTTTGTAAGTTAAAATAATTCTGTACTATAGTTCGATGTAGAATTTTCATGAAATTGAAGGAAGGTTGATAAAGTCTTTCACCATGAGGTGTGAAAACTGGCAAAATCTAAATACTCTCAGGAAAAGTCTGTATTTCTATTTTCTGTACAAAGTTTGTCACAGAATTTCATATTACTCCTGGGAAATGAATGTATTTCCAGAAATACATAAATATACAGACTACATATATAGTTAATATGTTATTTCTTTGGAGATGTACATTTGGTATAAAGCATATAGCAATTTAATACAAAAACAATGTTTAAATGAATTTTTATAGCAAAATTCTGAACATCTATGCAGTAATAAAATTCAGTCAATTTCTTACCACTATTAAAAGTCTGACATTATTTAGGATCCAGTGCAAGACTGTTACACATATTTCATGACTGACAACAGCAGAAAAAGAGAAGGTTAGAAAGAGAAACACTGGTTGAACAAGGCCACAGATAAATTATAAAAATTAGATTAAATTTATTTTGTGTAGGGAAAACCTAGCAGAAATTCAGCTGCAGTCATCTGTACATAATAAAATACAAGTGCTATATAGTTAAAAAGTATACTCAAAACCTAGCAAGACATGTATAAATTCTGGTATATGCTTTCTTAAAACAGGCTACTTAGTCTACTAAATAAATATCTAAAAATCAACAGAAACAGAATGTAGTTCTATTAAGGACAGTATATGAAACAACTTCAAAAGAGCAACCAGACAAGAACCATTTACTAGGAAAGGATGTAAAATAAATTGTATAAAATAAAATATCACAGGATTGGAATTAATCACACAGTATGCTTCATTTTTCCATGATTGTCACGGCAAACACAATGCACAGATCACACAAGGATGATCCTGATAATAATATAAACAAGGATGGATTTAATCAATGTATCACAATTATTCAAGCAAATTACATTCTAACAATGAATAAGAAGCCTGTGACAAGTTCAGAAAAATGGAAAAACATATCTTGGAATGTCACGAATCCAGCATGGCCTGGGTTTTGTAACAAGGAAAGAAACATGAACTTCTTCATGATGTAGCAGGGTGGGGAGTACTGTTAAAGGCAGTTTTTGATATACAAGCAGAACTAAACTGAAACCAGAAGATGATTTATTTTCCCTCTTCTTAAAACATAATTTTGAGATAAATACTGATATAACATACACATAAGAATATGAAAAAATATATGAAAGACAGAAACACTTCATATGAAAGCAAGATGGGGAAAATTATTTCTAAGACAGTACAGGTTCCTAACAAACTTTTGTTTATCAACTACCAGGGTGTTGATAAATCTTCATAAGAAAGTACGGAATAGACTTATTTTTTGGTGTAACAGAAAAACATAAATCAAGGACAAATTGCTACAGACTTAAGCCAAAAAAACTTCAAGAGACACTGCAGAAATGCAACAGTATTCCTACTTGCACCCACTTCTATAGAAAATGGGTTAAATGTAAATGGCCTAAACCCAAAAAGCTTCCAGCATCCTCAAACAAAGACTAAGCAGCTCTCTGGTGGTAGTCTAACCACAGGCAAACTGAAAATATTGCGCTTGAAGAGATACTATGGATAGAAGGTCTACGCATACATGCTCACCTCCTGAGCATAGCCCACACTTCATGGGTTACATTTGCTTCTCTTTAATTATCAAAGTGCTCTGTGCATAAACAAAGAAGTGGAAATCCAGAGGAAGGAAAATGGAGGATAAAAGGAACAATTTTGTAGCATAAATTTTACAGGTCAAGGTACAAGGATCTTTCAACATCCTCCAATGTAAGGAAGACTCACTGCTGCTTTATTTTCTAGATAAACTATACTCCTTTTTTTCATATCAGATATATTAGGAAAAAAAAAAAACAAAAAAGGGATTTCAGGGAACAAAGACAGTTTCTAGAATTGAAGGAAAATGTCAGAGATCTAGCCATTGGTCTGGGCTGGATGAAGAGAGATTGGAGGACATTTGAACCTCTGATATAACGACAGCTCTCAAACAGGAGAAGAAAGGTCAGAAGAACTCCTAAGTGCTTGTAGAGAATGAAAATCAAAAATGGCAAAAGTAAGTGATGCACAGACACAGTGTCTAAAGCGTGGAATAAATGTGGATATGAATGTGCCTGTGACAAACAGGAGTGAAACAGGGACACTGGTACTCCAGAGACCTACTGGGACACCTACAGTACCTACTTTAATTTGGCTTATGGTGTTTTACTTTTAAAGTGAAGTATAACAGGAATATTCACAGCTTATTATTTGGGACTATGAGAGAGTAATGACTCGTCAAAACAGTTTCTCACAGCTTTGAGTTCTATCTATAGATAACACAGGATCTCCCAACCACCTACAACAACTTTTAACTGAGAGCCAGTAAGAGATTGGTAAAGCTATTTTTGTCTGAAGGACATCAGAAAGCAGAACTGAAGACAATGGTTCAACAGTTAAAGAAAACATATGGCAAAAGGAGTTAGTGATGGCTGTATGTTCTCCTTGAACAAACAAAATAGCTGTCAAAAAGCCCATCAGAACAGTCTTATCTTTTCCCTTGTGTTCTTCCTACATTCTCCCAATTTTCTTACCTTAAAATACATAATTCTGCCACTTCTCTTCTGTTTTCCACAGCTTAATTCCACTTCCTTGCACCAAAACTGTCTTTCAACAGCTAGTAAGTACTTTGTTACTCTGTCTTCTCTTAATAATGTGTGTATGTCCCTTTTTCTTATGCTGTGTCCATAAAGTTATTTCTTAACCGTCCTGTTTGTAAAGTTTGATCACATTATAGAGCAAATGAACTTCAGCCACAGTAACACTGACCCAGCATCTCATACTTGAGGCACGTGAGTGGAAGACAAGCCTGAAGCTCTAGGACTACAAGCCAGTCAGCCTCAGACAGCCACTACCAGCAGTCAGTCTGCTGTATTAAATCATACTCCGTAATTCAACATTGTTATATAATCATCTGTAAGTCTAATAGAGAAATAATGTAGAATGAAGAAAATAAGATTTTGAATTCCATTGAATCATTTGACCACATTATTTCTATGGATTACTTTTATGCAGCAGCTGACAGGGACATTAGCTACTTCAATTTACTAGAATATCAACTGTCTCAAGATTTTTTTTATTTTCTGTCTTCACTAACACATCTGCTTTTATGCTCAGGTTTCAAAGTTTGGTTCCAGCAGACAATGCAAAAATTGTATTTATCAGTAATAGGCTATTAAAAACCACAATCAGATTTTCTAGACGAGTTCCAACCTTCAGTTTGAAAAACAAAAAAATGTTTACTGGCTTTCTAGGTACAAAAAATTCCCAAATATCATCAATTCATCAATCCCTCATCAGTAAGATCTCAGTAAAATGTAATGAATAAAAGGTGAGTTTGATTATATGATAAAGTAAAATATAAGTGCACTAAGCCTTTTTAAATGATGTTTTTAAATCCAAGTCGATTATTAACTATCAAGCAATTACATTTGAAAGCATTTTCTTTCCCCAGTAGTAGGGATATCTGAAACTGAATCATGTCATCGTTCATCTCCATTAAACTCTATATCCATAAAGTGCTGACAGAATTGGCCTATCTGCCCATTTTGTGATTTATTTTTGATAATTTAATGGTTTAACACTTCAGTAAAAGGTGCCAATTGAAAAGCAAGGGCTAAAGTACAAATTTAATTTGTAAATAATAAGAATCCCTTGAATTAAGTGCAGAGTCTGAATACATCATAACTGCTCTTGCAGTTATAATTGTGGGGAGTCTTCCCCACAATTGCCCCTGATAGCAAGAACCTGGCAGTTTCACAGCACGTTCCACCACAAAGAAAACATTTCACCATTTTTGTGTTCACTAATCTACATGTCTGAACAGTAAGAAAGACAGCTTCAAAGCAGAAAACAGCAGAAGGTGGCTAACTGGTGATGGAAGTAGGGCAACATTTTAAAAGATCAAAGTCCCAGTTAACTACTGTATGTGAATTAGTTTCTGAAGTTTTTCTTACTCCTTTCCATGCAATGTCCAAAAATAGTGGATTACCAGGCTTTTAAACAGAACATTAATATGTAAACCATTCAGGCTATCCAGGGTGGATTCATTATCTTTTGTTCCACTAAAAATCCGTTCTGCCTTGGACCAAGGCTTGCCAAAGACAGAGAATCTTTTCAGGTCAAAGACACTTTCCTGCAGAGGGAGTTTACATAGGAGATGCAACAGCTTTTAGAGACAGCATTTTTAAATTATGGTGATCTTTGGCTATCAGCTGGAGATCCAAAATACATTTGTTTTTTGAGGGGAAAAAATCCTGCAATCTGTATGACTAATTTAATTAGCCTACTATAATTCTAGTTAAAGTAACACATTTAAAATCTAAAAGATGTGCATTTCATATGAGACATTAATTTCATTAATTGGTTTATGAATGCTACATTCCAGGGAGTGAATGGGTTTGATATAAAATATTAACAAACCTAAACAATGAGTATATTGCCTGGGGTCCCTTTTGAGTCATTACAGTAATTTTCTTTTGTAGTCTCAGAATCTTTTACAAGAAGAGGTGACTGCTAACACCAGGTATTACTCTTCAAGAGATTCGGAATCTCAGTTCAGGGATTTCCCATATGGTCATATGCAAAACAACACTTACAGAAGAAACAATTTTTGTTTGGATTAAACTAGAGCACACCACACAATTAATTTACCAGCTTTACGACACTACCTCAACCCAGCAGAAACATGAATCTTGAGACTTTCGACAATAAACAGCAGTTTCAACTTGATGCATAAAAACAATGACAAAAAATAGGAGGGCAGGTTTTCAACACAAAAGTTTAACTTCTTCAGTTGCTTGATCTGACGAACAGACAAATCAGAATATGCTGATCATGAACACTGTGATTGCACAGTCAGTGCTAATGTCAATATCTAGTGTGTCAATGTTAATCTGTTCTTAGAGTATAAATTCCTGACAGACTTCTCAATTTCTTCAGGTAATGCTCCTACTATGGTTACTCTCAAAAGAATGCTATTGAAGAGATTAGCAACATTAACATATTCCAAATAAAAGCTAACTATAAGTAAGGCATGTAACTTGTCAGTAGAATTCAAATTGACCCATTTTCAGGAGAGAGATTAATGTGCAAATATTTCATGTGCATGTAATTAGACATGAAGACAAAGCATCACGTACAAAAAAATTTCACCCAATGCTCATTTTATAACGTATGACTCTACCTGTTCTCAGTATTGAGGGTAGATCTGACAGAACTGATAAAATTTGTTATTAATGAGCACTCCAATAAATCCAGAACATCCAAACTTCAGTAAGACTGGAGAAAATCCGGGGTCTCCAGGATTATAAATTTCTACAGGCATGGCATAAAAATGTCATGATCTGAAAGCTAGACAATTAATTCCGTTTCTTACAATGTATATTTGTAATTACTTTACTCCAGTGTGGCTTTGTTGATTTAAAGCAATAGGAAGTGCATTAAGATGGCACACATTATCAGTGTGCCTAAATACTACATAAAGTTTATGAACAGTATAACACTCCTCCAAAATTAATTTATTTCTCAATTTTACAAAAGCTTACACACAAGCATCTTTGTTGCACCACTGAAATTCAATTAAGAGTCACCTCTCTTTTTTGGTACTCACACAATAAAATGAATAGATGTGAGCAGAGGTTTTTATGTGTATATTTTATTTCAAATAAATAAATCTCAAATTTCACATCTCAAATTAATTAGATACTGTACTTAGGATACTTATAAGTACAGGACTCAATTTTTCTGTGAATTTTCTTACAGGAGTTTAATCTCAACCTTTTTCAAAAAAACAGGGAAAATGGAAGTAATTGGAAGACAAACCTGACACATGAAAGAAGAGAAGAAAAACTAACCTCAATAATGTAACTGGGAAAAAAAAAAAAACCCTTGTATTTTTATTTTAGAAAACAGAAAAAAACTGACATTTATGTAAGTTTTTAGGGTATTTTCTGCAACATTTCTCTTCTACTATGCCTTTTCAAAAGTATTTATGTCTTTCAGGCTATGACAGTGCTTAGGTGTCTACAAAACCACATAGTCACAACATCACTAAGGTGAACTGAAAAGGCATGCAAAGGATCCAATTAAATTTACCAACTATTTTGAATTAAATAATTACCACCTCAGAAGTAAGGGGACACCAGTATCACCAAAAAGAATAAGAAGAGGAGTCTGCAGCATCCCAGCATAGCAGATACAACTACTGTGAAACAGTGTTCTTAGTGTCTGAGAGCCTGGGCTGGGATAGACACTAAGGACACCATATCCAAACACCAAGTACCTCCTCATGCCACTTGTTCAAATAGAGACACACATTCCTTCAGAGGCAATACTCTGCAGCAGCAGCAGCACCTGGTACATGCTGTTGGCAAAGAATATACTACATTCTGATGCTATTTCATTCATATGCTTTTTTTTCCCTTCAGTGCCCTTTTCCTTGTGGTTGGACATTTTAAGCTATGGGCATTTTAAGAAAACAGGTTGTTTACTGCATTATCCTTCACCTGATCCATGATTCAGAATTCCACCTGATGGGCTGGAACTGCAGGAAAGGATGTACCTTGCGTAAGCATTATTTAATTGAAGAAAACTGTAATCTCTTCATAAGCAAATGCTGGACAGCACCACAAGATGAAAATTGAAAGCAGTTACTCTTTTGTTCAGCAGCATAACTGCTTTTGTTGCTCTACTTAAATGTTAACACCAAAGTAGAATTTTTTCCCAGTACCTTTAGGTATCATAGTACACGATTCTGAGAAAGAATCTGAGGAAGCTTAGAAGTTCTGAATTAGCAGGAACCAAGAAACTTCAGAACTTCGCAGTATCAAGTAACATATATCTTTTATTCTTGCTTCATTAAATTTATCACATAAATAAGAAATACTGTTTGGAATGTAATTAAATTGTGACAAAAGCAGAACATAAAACATATTATTTGCCCACGATTGCACTAGCAGATTTTATATTACACTCAATTCAGACTTCAAAAGTGTACTGAAATGTATCTATCCTAAACAATGTCAAATCAAGTGGTAACTGATATTTTGCTTTAATGTAGATCTGAGCATAAGCATTCTTTAAGATTTGGTAAGATTTTTCTCTCCAAAATACTAAGAACTACTTAATTTATTAGTAGTAGATATTATTTTTCCACAATCTTATCTGCCTAAACATTAGTTTTAGATGAAACACCAAATACAACTATATATTTACAGACATTGATGCATTAGAACAGCAAGACCATTGCTTGCATGAATGACATACCACTTCATCTTCAAATCCCCCAGCTAGTACGAGTGAATAAGCTCCATCATTACTGCGTCCATGGATTCCACCAACATGAGGTCTGTGAACACCTGCTTCACTCACCTGGAAACAGAAAAAAAACAGTTTATAGCAATTTTTTTTAAAGACCCAGTCACCTACAACCACTTTTAACAATCAATTTTCTGCTCAAAATATTGTACAGAGGTTTCTGTGTCAACAGTTAATGCAAGACTGCTACTAAAGGTGTGAATTCCACTGTTTCTTCAGGAAGAAAAGCTCAAAGTAAGAACACCCAGAAAACCAGCAGACAAGGCAGGACAGTGGTGACACTGGAAGATGTAATGGACTCTTTCTTCTTTGGGGAAAATCTCCAAGATTTTTTCCATAAGCAGTACATAAGACAGTACTCACTGCTATATTCCATTTGCAGAGTCATTTAGAACAATTCAAAGGAGAAGGAGATATACCAGTTTAGTGGCATTTTACAATTTTTAACCTAGGAAGACCACAGTGTAAAGATAATTTTGTCAGGGACTTGTAAGATAACACACTGTTAATGTAACCAGTGGAGAGGAATATTATCAGACTGCCCAAGAAAACAGAAGAAGCCATTGTAATACCACCATATGGATCATAGACTAGCTCTCCAACCAGGATAACTCTCTGGTAATAAATGTTCAAGTAATCTGCAGTCTGACCTGCAGATCTAATCTGAAAGCTGCAGCTGTAGCATAATCTGGCAACACCATTGGAGTCTGCTGGAGCATCTCTCCCACAAAAATTTATTTATTGATGGTTTCAAACTACTAATTAGTAGAAAAGCCCCACAAACTTTACAAATAAAATGAGACTATATACTAAATGATGCATTTTCTCAGTACGTTATGATAAAAATAGTGTTGGTAGAATGAAGGCTTCCAGTATAAAACCAATTATACTACTTCTTTCTACCTTCACATCTTCTTCCAGACCTTGATTTTGCCTGTTTTTCTCATTCTGCTTCTTGCACTCCTGATCTCCTTTTCCCAACCTACAGTTCTAAGCAACTTTCATGGGAGTCTATATTCTTTTGGTATGGTCTTGAAATTTCATAACACAATACATCAAAGATCCAGCTAGTCAAAAGTGCACTTTTTAGCATCAGATTAGAGCTGTGCACAGTATGAAAACCATGCAAGGACACAATAATACTTCCTTGCACAATACTTCCTGATTGCTGTTCATAATAATGTATTTTATTTTCCTGACCCTTCATTTCATGATAATTTAAAAATTGATTAATTTTTCTGATCACTATTAAAATGATATATTTTTAAAAAATTAGTTATTAGAATATCTCTGCTAAATAACAAGAAGTATAAGTAGCTGAAAGCCAATTACAAATTACACACTTAGAAATCTTCCCAGCCCCATGTTTGCCATCCACAACAACTTAGCACTCTCACTTAACTTTTTCAGCTATTTGCCAATTTTTCCAGATCATTTATGAGTATGCTGAATAAAAAGGCCCCACTATTGCATTCCTCTTTCCCATTGTATCAAGCATTCTTTAATTCATTCCTCCCTCCCTTCTTTTCATTTTCAGGTTTCATCAATTAAATTTAGGTACGTGATTCACCCCAAAGATGAACACTGATAAATAATTCATGTCAAAGATGCTCTTCAGATGCTCTCTCCAGAAGCAATGTTTAGTCAATTTCCTTCTAGGGAAAAGAGAGTTTGTGTCATAAAAAACTATGCAAATCAGAAATAAAGAAGTCTTTAAATTCTCATACAGTCTCTAAATTCTCATAGATTTGCTGAGACAATCTCATTTTGTCATAAAAAACCTATTTCATATAAGAAACAAAAGCGTAATTTACCTTTCTACATAGAAAAAAATTCAATTTTAAAAAAAAAAAAAAGACAAGGTGTTTAATTTGCACCCAAAAAAAAATAATTATGCATAAATGGTAACTGTTGTTTGATATTTAGTCCATATATATACATACATATATATATGCACATATATATACACATATATATAGTATATATACTATATATATAAGAAATATTTTTGATGGATTTTCTGATGAAAGCAGCACTCTAATTCTGTTGGTTTTTCATACCAGTACTAGAAATATTTGAAAAGCATTAGCTTTTGTCTTACCAATAGAATTCCTAACAAAAAGGTAAACTAGTAATTCTAATTACTATTGAAGCAATGAAAATAAAATTTGATTTTGAAACATTGAGTTTGCCCAAGTGATTTTAGACAGCTCTCTTACTTATTAGCCTTTACATAATCTGGCGCCCAACAAAAAGAAAGCAAATTATGAAAAGGTCATAAAAGAAATCAGAAGAGGCGCTTGATTTTTGGCTTGCGCCTCTTCAAGCAGTTTAAAACCCCCTGATTTCATTCTTCCAAATATGACAGAAAACATTCAGTTCCAATCATTTACCCATGCAAGAGACAGAGAACTAACTGATTTAGAAAACAATGAAGCATATATTTTCATGACTAGAAACAATAATAAAAAAATGAAAGATAACTCAAAAATCATTTCAGTTGCATCAGGCTGGAGCAAAAGGGAGGAAGTTTGCAGCTTGACAGACATTACAAAACCAAAAAAAAAAAAGGAACTGGCATAAAATGCAGCTGTCCCATCCTCCCTGCTTTGTTTTTTCCTGCCTTGTTAAATATTGGCACTGTGCTTACATAACCAAAATGCAAAATGGATTGGGAAAATTAGCCCCCAGTCTACTCCAGATAGGATTCTTTTTCTGCCAGTTTTTTATCAGCCTAGTTTACCACAGAGCCTAACGAATATTTGAAACAGAAAATGAGACAGTTCAAAAAAACACCAAAAGCTGAATATACAGTGAATTTCAGTAGCACTACAGGCTTACACAGGCTTAAGCTGTTCATCAGCCCAAAAGCAGATTTGGACATCTATTACATATGACCAAAAACATCTACAGTCAGATTACACATAATGTTTTCAAAATCTGCCATCTAGACCCCATTCATGGGATAATCAGTTCATGTGAAGAAAACTCTTCACAAAATACTTAACTCCATTCACTGAATATCTGACTTAAAATTTTAACATGTGAAATATGTTTATCATAATTCCGATAGACTTTTTACTACGTTGTATGTAAAAAGTTGTAGTAAAAAGTTGTATGGTAAAGTCATATGGTGAAATCATTCTTCACTACTATCGGCATCACTTCCAATATTGGAATCATCATCTATTTGCGTTACTTGCTCCTGGTGAAAATGGCAATTTTCAATTGAAATTTATTTTAGTACCCAACCCATTCATTATTATTCCTCCTTCCTTCAACTACAGCTAATACTGAAACAACATACCTGAACTCTGAATTTCCAGGTTGTCCCAACAGGAACACCAGGTATAGGCCCATAATGATTTGAAGGAACAATAGTGCATTCCTTAGTGCGACCAACACAAGCCATGCCCTAAAAATACATCAGACAAAAGTAATCAGACAAATGAACTGCAATATTGAAGAATATTTGTAAATTCAATGCAGAGATTATGAAATCTGTCTATTATAACAAACACATATTTCAAGATATGTTAATAATTGTTAAAAGGAATGTTAAATTAAGTAATATGTGGTTATGGGTTTGGGAGGGGAGTTGGGGATTTTCTTTTTTTGTTTTTACCTCTAGTCACCTTAATAATCCTTCCACTGCTTTAACTGCCAGTAGACAGCAGGCAGGATTGAACATTGTCTTGTTGTTTGTGCAACCCAGTACTGAATTTTGTGTAGTGCATATGTAAGCAGAATTATAGATGTAGCACATACATGAACAATCAGAGTAACAGCTATTTCTAAAACACACTCTACCTTTCCCCAGTCTCTCTGGCTTTCAGTACTGGCAGATGGCATCTTTGCTTTCTTTTTACTCTGTTTGAGTTTTTCTCCAGCCTTTACAACTTCATTAGAATCATTTTTGCAGGAAGGACAATACCTAAAAAAAGGTTTTAGTAAATTCTCAATTAACTTCATAATAATGGCAATACATTTCTGGTAGCCAAAATAGTGTCTATTTGTTTATTTTGACTGAATGTTTCAAGCTAGCAAGCATATACCAGTCTCAAGCAGCTGAAGTCTACAGCTTAAAAAATGAACTCAACATGAACAAATACTGTCAACTTTTTTTTTTAAAAAGGGCTTTTCAGTATCCTTAAAGGTAGAGTGCTAGTCGCAAAACATGTAACTATTTTTTCTCACATGATATATGAGAGATGCCCATGGCTCCTGTTTTGTCTCTTCATTTAGTCCTCCTTCATTTACATCATGTAAAGGAGAAGATAGCTGAGATAAAGTATGCTGCTAAGCAGTACTCATGGTCTGTTTCTGTCTCCTGCCCAGTCTGTTCTTACTTTGTGCTGGTTGTGCAACTAATTTCACAGCAGATTGCTGAATGTCAAACAGAGCCAAGGTATGACATAATGTATAGAGAAACACACAAACACACACTCACTCACTCCACAACACTAAAGCCATTTGGAATATAATGCTGGGGCTCACTCACACCAACACAAATCCATTCTGGTAGGAAAGCAGAGATATTAGTATACACTGACCACAGCAGAGAGAGAAAAGGAGCACAGTGGCCATTCTGCTGTTTCCAACAACATTCTTATCCCAGTCCAGGAATAACAATACACAGGCATGCCCTTGTTTCTGGCTCCCATAGACTGGATTTGGTCCATACACCATTAGAAGAGGAAGCATGAGCTACATTAACGTTGATAACCTCATTCAGGAAACAAAAACTACTACTACTGCTACTACTATTACTACTACTGCTACTGCTACTGCTACTGCTACTGCTACTGCTACTGCTGCTGCTGCTGCTGCTGCTGCTGCTGGTTTGGAGTTATTAAGTTTTTTATATGAATATGAATACAGGAATTAATGATTAAGGTCCACAGGAATAGATTTCACTATCTCAATAAAGGTGTTGGACCATGAAAATCATGAAGCCATGTGGATTAAAACATAATAATGTAAGATGCTGAAGTTATGATACTGTGACTTTGACAGGTATTACAACTGCTTATAGAAAAAGCGTATCAGACTAATTAAAAGAACAAATATGACATAATGCAAATTAACAAGGTGAAGTCACATGGCGAATTCCATGTTTCTTGACAGCGTAACAATATTACCTTAATATCTTTTAAACTGAATCTGGTAGGGACTATTAAATACTGTTTCCAATACTGTGGACTTAATCTCCACCAGATAAACTTATCCTTTCCCAAACTGAAGACTTAACCCCTGAATAGAGTTTGCCAGATTTTACACTCTAAAAACGCAAAATGGAAGTGTTCCCAATTCTAAGGCAAATGGTTCCTAAATTAAGAATCAGACAACCATGACTCTTTGCTAGTATGCAGGAAGAAGGGAGGGCACAAACTTCTTTGGTAGGAGATGCTGCTCTGCACGGTGCAAATGCATTTCTACATAATGACAAGCATTAAGACAGTACAGGGCTGGTGACACTAAGCATCTCAAAACTAGCTCACATAAGCCAGGCCCACAACTGCACCTCTACCACCCTGTGACTTCATTCACAGATGCAGCTATCTACTTACATATATAAATCTTAAGGCTCCTATTCTTAGTTACACAGTAAACAAGCTAAAAAAGCTAAAACAAGCTAAAAAGCTTGGCAGCCATTTTCCAACGAATTTTAATTACATTAATTAAACTTCTGGAAATTCATAATTTGGAGAATGGACCGAGTAGCTCTGGAGAGGAGGAGGTGTTTGTGATCAAAAAGGCTCGCCATGACCCAGCCATGGGCACTCACAGCCCGGAAAGCCAACCCTCATCCTGGGCTGCATCCAAATCAGGGTGGGCAGCAGGTCAAGGGAGATGATTCCACCCCTCTACTTTGCCCTTGTGAAACTCCACCTGCAGTGCTGCATCCAGCTCTGGGGCACCCAACACAAGAAAGATATGGACCTGTTGCCAAGAGCCCAGAGAAGGGCCACCACATTGATCAGAGTGCTGGAGCACCTCTGCTATGAAGACTGCTATGAAGGCTGAGAGAGCTGGGGCTGTTCAGCCTGGAGAAAAGGCTTCAGGCACCTTCTAGCTAGTTTAGATTTTAGTAAGAAATTATTGCCTGTGAGGATAGTTGCCCCAGAACACAGGCAGATCATCAGGCACTAACCAATAAACATTATGGAATCCAGTAAGGTGTTATTAATTTACAGAGAATGTTAAAACTTCCAAAACATTTATACAGATTTTTACAAAAAATATAATCACAAGGTTCAAAGAGATTCCATGTAATGTATTCATAGACATCTTAGACATTTAATGAAGTCTATGGAAAACTTTATTAGAATAAAGTTCTATTTATTACTCATTTATAAAGGATTAGCATCTCAAGTAAGTCATAGGCAGGTGATAAATATGAACAATGTAATTTGTAGATAGCTACTAAAGACATAAGAGTAATTACATAAGAAATGAAGAGTGGCAATGTGGTGGTCCTTCCATAGCATGAAAAATGAATGTAGTAGAGGCAACGAAGAGCACAGGGGCAGCAGCAGGGACAGAGGATGAAGGCGCAGAGAAGCATGAGCATAAGAGAATTGCTCAAGCAGTGAAGATTTTAAAAAATGAAAAAGCTGAGGAACAACAACTGTCGATAAATACAATCAGATCAGGTAATGTCCCAGAAGATTATAATGACCATAATGAATAAAGTGAACCTACCAGTGTTGAAATTTCATAATGGTCTTAAAGCTTACTACTAATCCATTGTGAATGATTTAAAAGAATTATCTTGACAGAAAACATAAGCCTTGTATTAAGTAGATGGAGGAAAACAGTGCTTAAAATTTAAAAATTTAAAAACATCTTCAATATTTTCTCTCATGAGGTGCAAATATCAAAAAGGTACCATGTATGGAATGTCAATATAGGAAGTAAATCATCCTTGTATATTTACCAGTCTTCATCTTCTGGTATCTTGCTTAAAGGAGGGTTCAGGCAGTATATATGATAAGCCATATTACACTCATCACACAGGAGTTGCATGTGAGCATCCTGTTTGCCACCACACAAGTAACACGAACAAAACCGGCACTCCTTATCTGGATCAGCCCTACAGTGCTTGCATTCAGGGCCACTTTTTCCTGTCAAAAACAAAGAAATGTCAAATGCCATGTATCTCAGCAAAGTGAATTACTGTATCTAAAGGAATAATTATTTCTGAATGAACACTGCTCTCTTGAAAATGCTTTTTTTTCTTACAATGAGGTATTTATCTAGACTTAATAAGATTTCTTCTGCTGTATAAACAAGCCATAAAAAACATGACTAATCATCAGCTTCTCTTTTTCTCCTGCTCCCAAGATGTACCTGCACATTCTCCCTAAAGATGGAGCTTTACTGTCTTTTGAAGCTGTACAGCTTATCAGTTCCTTGTAAGTTAGCTTAGATAAAATAAGTGATAAAAAGAAATATTTCTTTCAGGAGTTTATTTTTGAATAGAAATATGAGGTAGATTCTTGATGTATCCAGAGGAGTTCTGGATACTTTAATGTTTTTCCTAAGTATACTGAGAAGGAAATTAATGACTAAGAATTTGCAGAAATCCAAGCCCCTTTCTATTGAAGAAGAGCATGCTCTCCCAACTGAACAGACTTTACAGACAAATTGATCCATGCAGTTGTAGGTTATCAGTGTAAATCTGTGTGGAGAGAAACTCCAGATGGAAAGATTTGTAAGAAACGGGGGACTGGAATGTGAAGCATTGTGCTGTATCTGCAGTCCTTCTGGAGGACCTTGAACAGTATTTTTTCTTCAAAGGCGGAACCAACTAGACTTAGAGTGGGAAGTGGATGGAGTTTTGATTAACAAAGAAGAGTCAGGAGCTGCTGATGAATTAAAAACTGACAGGGGAACACCTGTGAAATGCCTCAAAAGAACTAGAGCTTTTTCATCTAAAATGCTTACACAGTTGACAGACCATCTGAAATGCCTGTACACTAGCATATGTATCATGGGTGACAATCAGAAGAATTGGAAGTGACTGTGCAAATGGAAAGCTATGATCTAATCACAAACACTTAAACTTCGTGGGACAAAATCACATGACTGGAGCACTCCAGTTGACTGCTACAAAACTGTTCACAAGGAACAGGCAAGGAAAGGGAGGCAGACAATTTGCCCGCTCCATGGACTTGATTGCACAAACCCATCTTTGAAAAACAGCGATGAACAGGTCAAGAGCTTGTGGTTGAAAATCAGAAGCCAAACCAGTACAGGAAATCTCATGGTTTGTGTTTATTACCCACCACTCCATTGAGGGGACTCTGTTGACAAAACCTTCTTACTTCACCTGCAGGAAGCATCAATCTGGCAGGTTCTGATCCAGCTGCAGGGACTTGTCAGGACAGTCCCTGACATCTGCTGGAAAAGCAACTCGGCAAGATGTAAGCAGTCTCCTGCATCAAGGATGATTTCTTACCCCAGGTGACAGAGAAGTGCTACTCCACCTGTTGTTTACTAAAACCAATTAACTAACTGGAGAGGTCAGGATCAGTGGCAGCCTTGGCTGAAGTGGTCATGCCCTGGTGGAATTCATGATCGCAAGGATTATGGGCCAAAGAAAGGTTAAAGTCACTACTCTGAATTTTAGAAGCCTGAACTTTTAGTTATTTTAGGAATTAGTGGATGGGACCCTCTGAAAAACTGCACTCAGGGAAAAAGGAGCAGAATAGAATTGTCAGATCTTTAAGGACATTTTTCTTAGAGCCTGGGATCTCTCCATTTCCACCAGTGAGCATTCAGGCAGGGAAGGCAAGAGACCAGCGTGGCTCAGTAAAGAGCTCCTGGATAAAGTGAAATACAAGAAGGAAAAGCACTGGACATGGAATCAGGGACAGGTATCCTGGGAAGAAAAGAGAAGTGCTATCTGGTTGTGGAGGGACAATTGAGAAATTAGGAAAGCTAAGGTATAGTTGGAGCTGAATTTGGCAAGGGATACAAAGAATAGTAAAAATGGCTTCTTATAGGCATGTTTCTCAGAAATGGAAGATTAAAAAAAATATACACACACAACCGCCTCCTCCGCTCTGTCCCCTGAAATGGGACAGAACTAGTCACAATTGACATGGAGAAGGTTGAGGTATGCAAATTTGTTTGCCTCGGTGTCCATTAGTAATCACTCTTCCCACATCTCTCAAGTTCCTGAACCTCAAGACAGGAACTGGGGAATTGAAGTCACTCCCGATGTAAGAGCAGATCAGGTTAAGGATCGTCTGAGAACCTGAACATAGACAAGACCATGGGACCCAAGGAGATGCATCCCAGGCTCTTGAGGGAATTACTTAATGTAGTTTTTAAGCCACTCTTCATCATATATAAAAAATCATAGCAGTCACATCATGTCTGAAAATCCACGGCAATCAGAGTAAGATCTCAGTGACTGGAGAAAAAGCAATTTCAACCTTTTTAAAAAGGAGTAACAAGCAGGAATCCAGAATTACTGACTAGTCAGCCTCATCTCAGTGCCCAGTAAGATCACAGAGCAGAGACTCCTGGAAGACATGTCAAGACATGGAAGACAGAAGACTGGTTAAAGAGAGCCAAAATGGCTTCACCAAGGTAAATAGTACCTGATTGGTACAGTGGCCCTCCACCATGGACAGAATGCATCAATTGTCAAAGGAGAACTATAGATGTCATCTACCTGTCTCTAAGGCCTTTGATTTGGACCCTCACAATATTCTTAACAAAAAAATCATAGATTTATAGAACATCATGAGGGGGTAGGGATCCACAAGAATCACTCACATCCAATTCTTGGCCCTGCAGAGGACATCCCAAAAATCCCTCTGTGTATGGGAACATTATCCAGAAGCTCCTTGAATCCCTGCCAGACTTAGTGCTGTGATCATTTCCCTGGGAAGCCTGTTCAAGTGTCCAAGCACCCTTTGGGTGAAGAAACTTTACCTGATATCCAACCTAAACCTCCCCTGACACAGCTTTAGGCTATTCCCTCGGCTCCTGTCACTGGTCACCACAGAGAAGATATTGGTGTCTGCCCCTCCTCTTCCACCCATGAGGAAGTTGTAGACTGCGATGACAACCCTCATCTCTTCTTCTCCAGGTTAAACAACCTCAGCTGTTGTCCTTATAAGGCTTCCTTTCAAGGCCCTTCACCATCTTTGTGGCCCTCTTTTGTGACACTCTTTTTTTTGGTGACCTTTATAGCTGTCTTACATTCTTACTGCTAAACTGAAGACATATGGGTTTGATGAATGAAATACATGGATAAGTACTTAATTGGATGGCCACATTCAAAGACTGAATGGTCCATATCCAATGGTTCAACGTGAAAGGGAAAAACATTAATGAGTGGTGTTCTTCAAGGGTCATACTGGGAACACTATTATTTTCTATCTACATCAATGACATACCCAGTGGAATTGAGTGCACCCTCAACAAGGTTATAGATGACACCAAACTGAGCAGTGCAGTTCATCACAGAATCACAGAATCATTAAAGTTTGAAAATACCTTTAAGATCATCAAGTCTAACTACCAACCTAGCACCACCACCATGTTCATCATAAACCATGTCCTCCAAGTGCCATATCCACTCACCTTCAGAACACTACCAGAGATGGTGATGTCACCACTTCATTAGGGAACTTGGTCTAGTGCTTAACAACATCTTCCATGAAGAAGTTTTTCCTAATATCTAACCAATACTCTCAGGCACATGGTACGACTCCCTTCAGCACCTCAATGTCCTTCTTGGATTGAGGGGTGCAGAACCGAACCTGAAGGATTCAGGTGTGGCCTCCCCAATGCTGAGTACAGAGGACAATCCCTGCCCTGCTCCCGCTGGCCACACCATTGCTGATCCAGGCCAGGATGCCATTGGCCTTCTTGGCCAGCTGGGCACTGCTGGCTCATGTCCAGCTGCTGTCAGCAGCACCCCCAGGTCCTTTTCCTGTGGGCAGCTTTGCAGCCACTCTGCCCCAGCCTGTGGCACTGCCTGGGGTTGCTGTGACCCAAGGGCAGGAGCCAGCACTGGCCTTGTTGGACCTCACACCACTGGCCTTGGCCCATGATCCAGCCTGTCCAGATCCCTCTGCAGAGCCTTCCTGCCCTCCAGCAGATCAACACTCCCACCCAGCTTGGTGTCACCTGCAGACTGACTGAGGGTGCACTCAATCCCCTCATCCATGTCACTGATGAAGATGTTAAACAGGACTGGCCCCAGTGCCGAGCCCTGGGGAACACCACTGGTCACTGGCCACCATCTGAATGTAACTCCATGCACCACCACGCTCCGGGCCCAGCCATACAGCCAGGCTTTTACCCTGTGAACAAGGGTGCCTGTCTGAGCCATGAGCAGAGTTTTTCCAGAAGAATGCTGTGGGAAACAGTATCAAAGGCTTTTACTAAAGTCCAGGTAGACAACATCCACAGCCTTTCACTCAGCCAGTGGGTGGGTCTAGAAGGGGATCAGGTTGGTTACGCTGAACCTGCCTTTCACAAACCCCTGCCGGCTGGGCCTGATCCCCTGGCTGTCCTGCACACGATGTGTGAGGACACTCTGGATGATCTGCTCCATGACCTTCACCAGCCCTGAGGTCAGGCTGACAGGTCTGTAGTTTCCTCAGTACACCTTCCAACCACTGTTAGGACAGGTCCAGAGGAGGGCCATAAAAATGATCAGAGGGCTGGAACACCTTTCCTGTGAAGAAAGGTTGAGAGAGATGGATTTGTTCAGCCTGGGCAAGAGAAGGCTTTAGGGACACCTTTGTGTGGCCTTTCAGTACTTAAAGGGGGTTTATCAGAAAGACGGGGAAGGATTTTTTACCAAGATCAGTAATAACAGGGAGCAACAATAATGAAAACTAGGAGCAATTTTAAATGGAAAGAAATGTGATTTAGACTGGATACAAGGAAGACATTTTTTTTATTGTGAGGGTGATGAGACACTGGTACAGGTTACCCTGAGAAGGTGTGGTTGCCCCATCCCTGGAGCCTTTCAAAGTCAGGTTGAATGGGGCCTTGATCAACCTGATTTAATGAAAAATACCCCCCATGGCAGGGGGGTTGGACTAAAATATCTTTAAAGATCCCTTCCAACTAAAACCATTTCATGATAAGAAGTGCTAAAACAGTGCTGTTTGAATCATTGTTTTTAAGATTAAAAACTTTAAAATTGAAAAATATAAAAGAGTCACTGAGGAGGAAAGATTATGCAGATAGAAGATTTAGTGAGATGTACTGACTGGAAAACCTGAGAAATAAACATGTAAAGCTACCAGCAGTGACTATTTTCAAAATCTTAAAGGCAAAAGTACACTTAAATATATACTTCTAAAAAAACCTCCAAAATCTATGAGAATATTGCTTCTGGTAAAGTGTAGCCTAGAAGACTTATCAGGCTTTCCAAATGGAGATAATCTATTAGTTTCAGACTTCCCTCCAAAGGTTTGTTAGAAGAAAGGACAAATTTTACGTGTGCTGATAAGCAAATCTGAGGGTTTTCCAGCATAGCTACGTTAAACTCACAATCTGTGCAAGGTGTCAACACCAATTCAAGTCAGACTAAGAAATCCCAGATAACTGTTAACTCCTTTGAAAAATTTTTGAAGTGATGACTGAGCATTCCCTACGGAAACCCTATAGTCTACCTCATCTAGCTAATAATAGACAACATGAAACGGCATATTTTTCTGTAGCTCTGAGCACCATACATTGTTTTGGCCTATGTAATTAATGGTTTCAGTTACAAAATCAGTTTCTTAGGTAAAAGGTTAGTAATATTTTTTTCTTAAATAGGAAAAGAGAAAAAAATACCTACCTATTTTAGTTCAGTTAAACAATAGGTGAAGTTCTCTACTTTCTCCAATATACAGACAAACTATAAACTGTCATTTTCATGATATGACTTTCATTTTTCACATTTCTGTTTAAACCATTTTGTAAGTCATATCCACTAACTATAGCCGTACTATTGGTCACACAAAGACAGGTCTGTTCATCTCAACCAACAATGCAGTTTAGTTGCATAAATAATTTCATATTAACTTTTTTTTTTCAGAAGGAGTTAGCATGAGTTTGGATTCTGATAGAAGTAATATATGTTGATACCGAAGTTTTACTAGCATGTTGCATATAAATATTTGTAAAATATTTACAAATATGTTGCTTCTTGGATTTTTTTATTTCTAATATAATTTTCCAAAAGGTTTAGCCTTACTCCTTTCCTCAGTTATAGAATTTTACTTCCATTAATTAATTAGCAAATGACTACTTTATTTTTAATCATAACTGCTAAATGTATATTAACATGATTTTACACATACAAAACCTAATTATTATGTGACCATGCTCAAGAAATAAGAGTTTTTCTGCAGAGACAACCTACACTGTTTATCTGATAAAGATTATTTCCATAGCAGGGATTCTATCTTTTGACATGGGCATGAAAAGTAGCTTAATATGGACAAAAATATAATCAGTGCATTTGCTGATTGCGCTTACAACAATCTCACAGAATATTTAAGGCCAAATAATTTTAATGTAATCTGAAATTAAAAGAAAATAACAAAATGAAAATTAAAAAATAATAATAAAAGTAATACAATTCTGCATCTCTCCATAGTACATAAGCTAAGGGAGCTGTGTGTTTATAGATAGGTGTATATATATTTAACTTTTTTTAATACACAGTACAAATGGGGTTGTAAGTACAGTCCAGAAGGAAAGGCTACACCGGTGGTTATAGCATACAGTTCAACTGATGTACACTGTGCATACTTGAACAAAGGAAAAACAGCTGACCTGGCTGGAAAACCAGAATCACATGAACAGGCTTGTGTGGTGAGTGTTGGTTTCAGGAGAAAGAGCAGTTCAAGAAATAAGGCTGAATTCCCACATCGATTTATTTTTCACGATTACACTTTAGAAGATTATATTTATGAATTGTATTTATTCATGAAGGTTATAAACAACACGCTGAAATTAATAAGATTAAGACCAGGAACAAAATGAAATAAAACATACACAGAGGTGCAAATCTCTACACAGATGTCAATATTTGGGTAGTTTATGCAAAGTGGTTACAAATAAAGAAACAACTATCACATTGGAAGGAAGGAGCTGTAATAGACAACAAAGGTCTAGACTGTGAAACAATTAGAGTGGCAATCAGTGTACAAAGTATAGACTGGTGAGGCCACCCCTCAAATCCTGTGTTCAGCTTCAGATCCCTCATTCCAAGAGGGACATTGAGGTGCTGGAGCATGCCCAGAGTAGGCCAGTGAAGCTCGTGAAGGCTCTGGAACACACGTCCTGTGAGGAGCAGCTCAGGGAGCTGGGGTTGTTTATCCCAGAGAAAAGAAGACTCAGGTGACCTGAGACCTTACTGCTCTCTGCAACTACCTGAGTCTGTAGCCAGGTGAGGGTCAGTCAAATGGAAATGGCCTGAAGCTGGGCTAGGGGAGGTTTAGATTGGTTATTAGGAAAACTGCTTCACAGAAAGAATGGTCAAGGACTGGAAGAGGCTGCCCAGAGAAGAGATGGAATTACCACTCCCGAAGTGTTCAAAAAACACGCAGATGTGGCACTTAGGGACATGGTTTAGTGGTGGACGTGATGGCCTTAGGGGTCTTTTGCCATCTAAATGATTCTCTGATAAGAAAATACTCATGTGAGATCAAATAGCACCATCGTAGACAATTTTGTACAGTCAGCAATACAGTAATCACTCATTTCCTTGACACATAATTTTAAAGTTAATTCATTACACAGTAGCTGCAGGGAAGAACTAAGTGAACTGCAATAATTTTTAATGCCATTTAAAATGTTGCATACTTGCAAAATAAATAGTATGTAAGCACAAACCAGTATTTGTAGATTTTCAATTTTCTCACACTGCAATGTTTTTAAATCAAAACATGCTTTAAGATATTGCAAAGATCTTTTAATGTGACCAAGAAAAAATAAAACAGAGTGGGTAATTTTCTTTTTTTAGTAATCTAAGGGAAGTAATTCTCAAATAATGAAAATGAATAATGAGTTGAGAAATTGACATTTTTACTTTTAAAAACACCACAAGGAATGGTATTTGCTCCTCTGAAAAACAGTGATTTTTTTTTTTTTTAGACAAAAATAAACATTAATCAAACTCATTGTTGTGCACTGAGAGCCACCTACAAAGGTTCTGAAAAATTGCATGGAGTCAGGAATGTAATATATAATTATATCTAATACCTACTTGTAGACTTGGAGTTCAGTCTTCAGTGTTGCTATCACAAACACTTAGCACTCGTAACTTTAATATATTTTCAAACTTAGGATAAAATGTCACACTACTTTTTAGATAAACGGCCACTAACTCCTTATTGTGGTTGTGAGGAGGTTAAGGAGGTCTGGCATAGTAACATTTTTAGAAGGTCATGCAGAGTCAACTAATCCAAACAGGAATTATCCCTTTTTTTTTTTAATGATACAAGCAGCTTTAGTGCAGAGTTCCTTATATTTTTTTCCCCTGACAGAATGAAGAGTTAAGGTGTATTACTACCAACTAATTATTTTTTTGGCATTTAATAATTTATTAAAAGCTTAAATTACATGTCAGTTGCAACAGCAGTTTTGGTGGCCTGAACACACCTCTTGGAACTTAAATGAGACTGCAAATTTATTCTGCACTGTTCATTTAGAGCATTATAAGCTGTTTCCCTTTTTCACTATTTATGACTGATAGCACTAAGCTGTTACTAGTTTCTGAATATGTAAAGTAATACAGCCATCTTACGGTAACTATATTATCAGAACAGGAATCTAACAATTTTTCAATGCAATTACTTTCTTGAACACAAACCAATTATTACTACTACCTCTGCATGCTGATATTTTTAAAAGAAACATTACTCAATTTGGACTTATATTCAAATAATTTAAAAAGCGCATACTTTTGAAATCTCCATCCCCAAATGTCAATGGATAGGCTCCTGGCTTTTCAATCTTGTACATTTCCTCTATAAAAAGGATTTTACAATCATTTATTGTGTCTTCTGGACCTCTGAAAAACAAAAAGAATAAAAAGTACATTAAACTTAGTTCCTCAGACCTAGATTCTGTACTTTTGAATCCTAAACAGTAAGATAAAGATAAGTAGCCTTTTTTTATCACTGATAGGATACTTTGTTTCAATTCACATACAAAAATTAGTCTAGCATGGTAACTTCTAAGAAAAAAATAAAACACATATTTAGTGCTTGCTTAAAGAAAAGACTACTCCATTATCCTCAGATTGTCTGGAACTTCAGTATGTCTTTATTGACAGTTATCCAATATGGCTTAATTCCCTTTTAAAACCTCAAAATGTTTTAGTTGGCCAAACACAGCAGACCAGACAAAACCATATCTTCTGGAATACAGCACCTCAAACATGATTATATAAGCATAGTACCACAAACAAACCAGAAATGTGACCTGTAAGACAGAAAAATAGTTGGAACCTATAGAGCAAGAATAACAGCAGAAAATGTCAAAAGCCCTTCTACGACTTTTAACTGTTTTTCAACTTTGTAAAGCCACATAAAATACTGAACTACAAATAGTCCTGCTATGTCAGGTTCCAGTGCAAATTCTCAATGATTAGTAGTAACAAATAATCCAATACTCTACTACAACAATGCCACAAGACTTCTAGAAAAGAAGTAGAAAATATTAAATGTAAAGGTTTCTACCTGCTCTTATTAAAATAAGTATCTACACAGATTGTAATTCAAATGGAAACATATTTAGGAAGAAATGGCCACAATAACACCGACAGTTGTAAAGCACTCCCTTTTCCTTCCTCCTTAGGATGATACTGTGCTCTCTTCAACTGCCTGTTCTCTAACCACGTTCAATTTACTACCTGATATAGAAGTAAGCAGGAATTTTCAGTATAAGAAAATACTGATGCATATCTGTAAGAACCTATCACAGAGGTGACTTGAAAACACGTTTGATCTGCCAGGTGGCAGATCCCTGTAAAAAGATCTAGTCTGCAAAACGAAATTAGACTATAGACAGCTAGGGAAACAAGATATTAGATTCATATTCAATAAAGATAATGACAACAACAGAACATCTCCAGAAACATCAGGCTTCAATCTGGAATCTGTGGTTCCCTGCCTTACCTCTTGGACTGTTCTCAAGGCTTCCTTTGTGCTGACTACCAGTTGTGAACTCTGACACATGGTGACCTAACTAAGGCAGAAAAAAACTAAGCCAGGGAAAAACCACAGGAGACAAATCTTTTTTCATGGTCCTGAACATTGCAGTATTTAGGTCTCCATGGAACTGGGGTTGAGAGGACTCTAATTGCCTTTAAGTGTACTAACAGCTGTTTACTTAGGCACCTGTATTTATTTTGACCTTTTTCTTTCCCTGCAGTTTTTGGAGGAAAAACATTCCCCACTGTTGGCCACATGCGTAAACAGTAAATGCTAACAATTTTCAAATATTTAGGCTATTTGAACAGAATTTGCAAATGTTGCATCAAGGCAAATACATCCATCAGGAAAAGAACTGTTTGATTTCCTGACCAGGGAAAGAATGTATTTAGAATTAACTACATTTGCACCCTAAGGGGATCATACTTTAAACCAGTTCTGGACATTGTGAGTAACACCTCAGGTTTAGCATGCAAAAACATTATGAATTATCCACAATACTTCACAATCACAAAGGCACAATACACTCAAATATAGAAATTACAAGATGTAAACATAATCTTTGGCAGGAAAACTGAATCAACAAACTCTTAAAAACACCAATATTTCCTAGGATATTTTGTGGACTTTAGAGAGTCTTTCATTAACTGTCCTATATGTCTTGTTTTTCCTAGATTATTTAAAGTTAAAAACAAAACAAATCACACCTGTTGACATTCTTTAATGCCATAAATCTATGTTAGAACCTTTCTTACTTATAACACTGCTTGACTGCCTATCCAGTGTTACTCCTCTAGGACTTACTTCTAACAGAACTCAAAGTTGTGAATCTAATATAAAACAAAAATACAGAGCTATGACTTTTTTCACATAGTTAAAGTGAAATTTTATACTTAATGACTGATATTCTCAATTTCTAGTAAATTTCAGACAAATTTAAGCAATTTTACACTGATTTTTGCCTTTCCTCTCCAGTGTGTTATGGTTTAGAGTTATTTAATTTACCTTTTCCCCCACCCCTGCATTTTCCCCAGAAAACTAAAAAGCAGCTGTTAAAAAAATAGCTTTTTATTATCTGTATTCTCTGCATACAGTCTATGGTCAAGAAGGATGGTGGTAAAACACCACACAGCTTTACCCAGAAATTTAGACACTTGCTATCTGTATCTTTGGGAAACAAGCCAAACTTGAGTTCAGTAGAATATTAACTAGGAATAAATTCCACTGGTGCCAATTTGAACTATAAAATTACTTATAACTACAATTTCCTTAAAATATACCATGAAAAGATTTATAAGTTGGTTCAATGATATAAGTGTTCCAAACAGTAACAGCAAAGTTTTTGCGAAGTACGCAGAAGCACAGATTTTTATCAACTTTATTACAAAGTATCATCACAAAAAATATTATTTCCACCTCAAAATGTTGAAGTGCAACTTTTTTAGTTTAGCTAGCTAAATGAAAAACTCCTCTAATACTGCAAAACAAAGAACTCTTGAAATAATAATAAAAAAAAATTAATACAGCTGCATGGCATGTTTTTCTCTTATATCACTGCAATCCTACTGACTAGCAATATTCCCTATATCTAGGCACCACTTATTAAACAGATAGAATTCATATTTTCTCTATCACATACATTAGATCATGGTAGACATTCCTCCTCTTTTTGCCCTGTATTTTTCCTTTGAGATAAGGGCACTCAGAAAGCAACTTTCAGGCTAAGTTTTTCCTAAAGTCTATTCAGTATTTGAACCAGAGAAAACATTTTATTTTCTGTTAAGAGTTGCATAAGAAGTAAGCAAATACTATCAAATAACATTACAAAGCTGGTATGTTCCAACAAGTGTCATGGCTGCATATCTGGAACTACAGAGGAAGATAACTAACATTGTGAAAATGATCGCTAATATTAAATGCTTAAGCCTTACCAAAGCTAAAAAATCTGCTCAGCTATTTGCTCGTTAAAGAGTAATTCCTCTTCCACAGTACACATTCAGTGCTTTAATAATGATCATGTGATTTTAAAATTATGGTTATCTAACAAAATTGTGGCTATATTATGCTGTCAAATGTATAACCTTTCTTCATTTCTTCACCCTAACATACCAAAATGAGATTATGCAATATGAATAGTAAACAGGATGTTTGTATTTCAAGCAAGAACTCTAAATCTGAAAGAATTAAATCCCAAAACAAAGCCAGATCCTTCAACACAGCAGAATTTCTAATGCAAGCCTTCCTTTGAGATAGGTTAGCCAAAGCCAAACAGAAACCTTCACCTGAACCTTCTTTTATCTGTACTTTCCCCATGCACATTTCCTTTTTTTTTTTTAACTTCAGGCAGCAAAACACTTTAGACATTCAAAATCACAGCTCACTAGACATGTGACAAGTGGGCATTATCCTGGATGTTTCAAAGGTCAGCTTCACAGAAAATAAAAGCTGCTGGACAGTTACCACGCTTAGAGAACTTTATCACTTCTTACAATCTGAGAAGTTCAGTGACAGTTGTCTGGAAATGTCTTGGTTTATCACTTTACCACATAGAAATCATAAGTATAGTATTTTAACACACACTAAAGTCAAAATACAGTGCTGAATAATAATGGGGGAAAAACTTCTAGAAAAATACACACAGACTTCATATTCACACTAAGAATAATAATGAAAAGAGTCTAATGATGATTTATATTTAAGCCCCCTAAGAGCAAAACCTTACTCACAGTGCCATGCTTACCACAAACAACTAATTCACAGTCAGCCTCTATGGCTAATGTCAAAAGGTACTGTCCAGGTCAGTAGAGAAACAGCCACGATCAGAATAAAACCTAACAGAATATAATGTTGGCTGTACTCTCCAAATAGACAAATTCTCTTAACAAACAATATACAAATCAAAACAAAACCAGATTTACTACCTGTAAAAAAAGGTAGATACTTTCTGTATCTATCTTTTCATATGCAAAACTTTGTACACATGCCTTACATCAATCAGCCTTTATTCTGCTTTTGTAAAGTTTTCAGACAGCAACTCTTTCTGTTCTGCATCAACAAGCCATAGTTAAACAACTTCTTGAAAAACAAACACACAGCCTTTCAATATTACCATTCAAAATGCTTATTAGAACTTTTAATATCATCTCCTTAGAAGCAGTTGACTGGAGATTTTGTTTTAAACAGGTTTGTTTCAAAGGTGACTTTAAGATCTTCCCACATTTAGACAGCATATTACATTGATAATCTCACCAAATTCTGCTAGGTTGTACTGAATTACATAGCAGTTCTAGGTAAAATTTGTTTTTTTATTGCACATAAGCAAAAAAGCAGAGAGCATTTACAAGATTTTTTTCAGAATATTCCACACACATTTGTTTAATCATTAAAATAAAAATGCGCGGTTACAAAACGGGACAGTATCAGCTCCGCTTTTAATTCAACTTTTCATTTATTACACAAGTATTATAAAGACATGTGGCAACTTCCACACTATTACTCTCTTTCCATAACACAAGTATTTAAACAACCACAAAAAAAAAAAAAAATTAACATTTTCTAGGCTATGTTGAGGACCATATTCTAATATGAATCTTCAATGCCTTTGGAAACAAAACACACATACTCCCAAACCTACAAATCCATACTGTGGACCTACATACAAGTCAGGCAGGATATTACTTTTTTAATGTCAGCAGAAGGTGAAGTGCTTGATGCATTTACAAAGCCATGTGTTATAGCTCATGATGCCAGACTCTGAAAGCAGAGACTTGGACACAGAGACTCTTCTCCTTAGCCAGGGAGCTGTAGGCAGGTGGGCATTAAGAGTACCTGGGGAAACAACTGGTCTGAGAGAACA